TATTATAAACTGATGTGTTTTGTGAGGAATTAAATGCTATCAATGCAGTACAACTCTCTACAGTTGTAGCTGATCCTCAGCACATAATCGAAAGTGTAGCAAATACCACAGAATTTGTAGTGCAAAGACCTCCTGCCTCTGTGAAATGTAACAGGTACCATTTTACAAAGAAAATTGAAAACTGTGGGCAAATTGTGAAATTTCAAACACCTCTGTTTCTACACTGCATACGTTTCCATGGTTACCATGCAGGAAAAAAAAAAAAAAAGAATAAATTTTAAGAATGAGTTCCAAGAACAAAATTTTCTAGGGCACTACAAGAAAACATCATGTAACTGTCTATATTTCTGAGTAAAGGTTCATGTTATGCTAGTTAAATGTGAATAAATAAAATAATCAGATTTTCCTCTTACCATCAAAAACCCACACCAGGCCAAAGTTTATTTTATCTGCTATGTTTCACTCCAGTACATCCCTCTGCGCTACAAGTACTGGCCAACTGGTTGGCATCAACTTGCTGTCTGTATTACTGCCCCTCCTTTCCCTTCCCTTCCCCTTTAGTGAAAGTCCACTGATGAAAAAGGATAACCAGTTATTGAGCAGCTATCACTTCATACATCATTCTTATCACTATATATATTCGTGCACAAATAATCATTTCTTTAGAAGTAAATAAAGTTTTATTAAATTCATTTGCTGCTTGTATTCCAAACAAAGCATCTTTTGGGGCTGTTGGATGCTATATAAATGCTTGTGGATATGTTACTTGAAAAGAGTAGCTCTTGTGTTGCTCTTCCTTTTTTTTCCCCTCAAGTATTTTGAAGCATCAAAATAACAGTAGATACACCAATCTTGGTTTAACTGCACTCATTTCTAAGTCCACTTCCCATGAAAGTACTTTGTTCCAACCTTCACATTGATAAAACCATACACGATCCCAAGTACTTGCTTTGGAATCAATAACTTCACAGCTGTCAGAGTAAATAAGCAAAATAGCTCATCTCTGCAAGATTTGAGAATCTGACACATCACAACACTGACATGTCTCCCACAGAACATATTTCAATATTCATTTTCAGTATTTAGAGGAAGGGGTTGTCTTTTCTATCCAAGCAGAAGAGGTTCCTTTATAACCTCAAATAGCAGAGATGAATTTTCTGAATAAGAAAGTCTTACATAAATAAACATATTTCACAATTCAGCACATCAAAGTGAGCAACATTTTGTTTCCTTAGGATTAGGGTAGGAAAAAGTAGGTAAGAGTATTTGATACCCATTCTGATAATGAATGGGACTGTAGAGAAAAACTGGTTAAAGTCAGTGCTTATTTTGATGAAAAAGAAGACATAATATTCACACACTGTACATAAAAAAACACAAAAACACACAAATTAAGAATTCCTAATGAGCTGAAAACAACTGCAACAAATAAAGGAAAGCATCAAAACTATTAGTCAGGTTACAAAACTGCCCTTAGTAACCTCAAAGATGTGACATTCATGCTACACACTTTGGTCAACAACAGCAATACCAGCAGCAGCTTTTAGAAGAACTAACAACAAATAATTATATAAACTATTTGAGATATAAACTAAAACACAACAAGAAGAAAATCTTACTGGTAATGCATATATATGTAAGAATCATAGCAGAAAGTAGAGTAAGCCACAGTTCAACAGAGATGCAAGATTACAACATCTAAAATACCCTTTCCTCTGGAAGTAACACAAATTTCATTAAACTAATCTTTTCTCAAAACTAAGCATGCTGAGGGACTGTTCTCCGGATGGAGGCACTTTAAGAACTATGTCAAAGCAGCAACCCATGCTGTTTTTTCTTTCTTCAGATACTTCATATAAGAGCCAGAACCAACATGAACCCAGCTCAACACCTAAGAAGTTACCCTAATCTATTGTCAGCAGCAAATTGATAACGGAAAATTTTTGCAAGGAAGATACCTTCAAACCAACAAGACACACATAGGAGCACACATTTCTAGCACCTGAGCGTTCCACTCTTTCATTTTCTATACCGTCTCTTCAGCACTGGAGGTCTTTCTCCACAACTATATGTATTGAGAGGAAAATACATGCCATGTTTAGTATCAGTACTGACATGCCTCTAGATTTCTCATCTATCTTATCACTTCCTTCTTATCCTGCAAACCATATATCTGGCACTGATAAATGCAGCCCAGTCTCTCTCCCTACATAATCAGTTTCTAAGTTCAGTCAGCCCAGATGCACAGCGGGTCTTCAGCTTCAAGACCTCTTTGTTACATGTTCTGTTACTGCAAAATGGGAACCTTCAGCCAACTCAGCTTTGCTCTGATACAACTCTCTATTTCTCAATTGCTGAAGTTTCAAATTTACTTCTGTGAACTGTGAACTTGCTCTTAGAAGACTGTTGCAATACACACAGCTAAGATATTTATACTCTGTCCCTTCACCCTTATTCCTGAAACACTCCTGTTTGCCAGTGCCTCCAGTCCTGACAATAACTCAGCAGAGGCTATCAGCATTGCTCGCACACCTCATACTGCTCCATCTGTACACACATATGGGGAATACTATCTTAAGAACATAAATTTCAGGATCAGCAAATACTTATTTTCAATACTGAAAGCACTAACTCAACTGTGGACTTGGTGCTACTAGGAGGATTAAGCCTCTTCCTAGTGAAACACCACAACAGCACCTTTCCTGTCAGTTTTATCTGTTAAGCAATGTTCTGCTATTAAAAACAAAACAAACCCTGAACCAAAGAAAATGAAAAACAAGGACTCTGAAAGGCAAACAGTTTTTTTCATTCTTTACAGAAAAAAAAAAAAAATCTCTGGAACTTTCCTGGGGGAAAGAAAAAAAAAAGTAGGCCAATCATGCCTGCAATTGAAGAAAACATTACTATTTCATCAGTTTCACTTCATCTAGACCACCCTTTAAAAGGAGAGCATCTGGCTTTATCCACTTAAGGAGAGAACTGCTGCAGCAAAGACAACTGCAAAGGTGCATCAAACAGCAGAAGTAATTTCAGTGGGGAAATGTTTACACTAAAGATAATCTAATCCTCCTCACAGGAAGCACAAGACACCTTTCACTAAGGCAAAACAAGTCTTCTGATTTGTAGACTATTTTGATTGGGAACTGACACTAGGTAAAAATTGCAGTCATTTATTTTTATTTTCAATGGACCTGGGAGCCTGGATGTCAAGGTGAACATAATGTACAGATGCAAACTGTAGAATAAAACCCCATGATAAAGAAAACCAAAAACAAAAAACAAGCCCACAAAAAAAACAAAACAAAACAAAACAAAAAAAAAAACCAACCAGAATGGTTGTCTCTTTTTCACCCAGTTTCAGTTAAGAAATTTATTCCCTTAAAATCACTCAGTCTTAAGACAACAAAAAAAGGGGAAATTAAGCACTTAAGCAGAAAAATCTGAGATTGATATAGCCGACTTCCACAAATCTTAATTCCTGTGGAAGTTACCACACAACTCTAAGGAAAAACAGGAAAGAAAAAAAAAAAAAACAGGAAAAATTCAGCACTGGTGATGGTGACCAGAGACTTTCCAACTCATAATTTGGGTCCTTTTCATCCACAGAATAATACAGCCATGCATTGCCAGCAACACAGCAGGGCTGCAGGCTCACCCTCGCTCAGAAGCAGCTCCCAGCAGGGAGGTGATGCAGCCCCCCCGTCCAGCTGACGGCTCCATGTGCCCATAGCGACGCAGGTAGGGGCTGGACCACCCCTCCAGGTTGGCCTGCTCTGAGCTATACTTCAGAGGCCATGATGCTGTAACGTGGGTCCTCATAATTCATGGACAAAGTTCTGATAACTTGTCTTGCAGCCATATCTGTACATTGCTGCATGTAACAATACTGCATATTGTTGTGATCCATACCCTGAGGAAATGACGGCAACACTTTCCTTTTTGGGGTGGACAACCTCAAAACATTTGTGTGAGATAAGTACATGCAAACCGATATTAGGCAAGGCAGTGGGATGGCTCCTCCCACTTTTTGTCTCATGCCTTCTATAAAACTGAAATCTTCGTAAAAACAGACCTTTAAATTCGTAGGACAAAGCAAAACCATGCAGACACACACAGAAACTCTGTATAAAAGTGTATTTGTTTTTTTCTTTATAAGCAATCTTTAACCCTCTCAAGTCATTTCCCAAGGCTCCAGATTATCTGCTTGAAATGATACGGCACAATTGCAGAGACCATTATGCTTGGGCTCTTTGAAAACCATTTTCTAATGACATCATCTTCTAAAGAAATAAACGTACACGGTTTAAACATTTAGGTACAATTTTGGATAACATTTCAAGGAAGAATAAAGTACTCCATAATTCCACTAATTTAAAGTGCTTTACAACAAGCAGTGTTTTTGGAAAGCAACCACCTGCCTGATAAGTTCACTGCGCCCATTATAATATTTCATTTTAAATGTCACTCTCCTCCCCTACTTCCATGCACGACCTGAACTATTCTGCTATCCCATCATTTAGAAAGAATAAAGACCAAAGAAGGATAAGACGGTTCAGATGAAAAACAACAAAAGCAGTTCAGACTTTTAGGTGATAATTATAATAATTTCAGAAGGGCTTTTTGATTTGTACCAATTCACAGAAAATAATTTGTTATGAATGGCACACAAAAATAAGTGAAGCAACACACAGAGCATACAATTATAAAATTCTCCATCTCGGATTCTATGCCCTATTCAATGATTTGGAACAGTTATTTCTGAAAGAAAGCTTCAAAATAGAATTTCAAATGCTAAATACCACCTATGCAAAGCAAAATGTTTAATAAAACTGCTAATCTTTAAGACAGGTCATTTTTAGAATCCACAGTAAGTCGATTACAGAAACAAAGGGCTCTGTAGTCGATGTAGCTCTGCAGACAAGAAAGGGAAACCTGGTAGATTTTTCCTGACTGTGAAGACAGAACAAAAAATAGTGTCAAAGGCAATAGAAAAGACTTACCATTCATGCTGAAAAGCTAATTTTCAGAAACATATTGCTGCTAATATTAATCCAATAACTGCAGAAGTATGTTAATCTTTACAGAAATCAGTGCTCCAAGCTCGAAACACAACTATACACTAACTGGAAAGAGAAAGCACACAGAATCCAGAGAGCTTCTCTTCCTTACGGGCTCCTTCTGATGCAAAAATCTGTGAAGCACAAGATAGCAGTAGTAAACCAAAATCAATATTCAGCACACGGGTACTTGGTTTTGCTCATTAACTACTTCTGTTCTGACCAATGCTACCTATTCATGTCTAAAGCAACTCAAAATGGCAGGGCGAAAAAAGCATGCAAACACCAGGAGGTTTTTAAGATGTTCTCAATTATATCAAGCACTGGTTGTTTCCATGGCAACCTTAGTCCAGAATTATCTGTTGACTTGTACCCAACTAGTAGTTACTCTAAAGCTTTAATCAATTTGCACAATGTATTTTACACGTTATTTCATATTTCATATTTTCCTCTCTATATATCTAGCAATTATTCAGCTAAAATTCTCTAAGAAATTCCACAGTATTTGAAATACATTGGTAGGTTGAATCAGTTAGAGACCAAATAGAATTCCTATTCATCATCCGTCCATTTATTCGCAATTTATAGACTATGAGAATCTGAAGATAATAAAAAGATGCAAGTGGTGCCTCTTTGTAACATGCATGTTGTTCAAAGTTAAGACATTCTCTTATTTTGCACAGATTCATAAAAATATTTGTAGCAGCTTAAGAATAAGAGATTCTCACTGATCTTGCCGTCCCTACAATCAACACCAAGCAGCCTCATTCTCCTTTCCGCTTCCACTTCAGTCTTTAAAGAGCAAAAAACTATTAAGAAAACAAAACAAAGCAATCTGCAAAAATAATCAAAACTTGGGTTCCACATAACTGCAACCAGCCACATTCCAGACATCTGAATCTCAGATGGAAGTGTGGCATTCTGCTGCCTACCATCACATCCCTTTTGCCCTTTGCAGCACCCCTGACCAGACTCGTGCAGTCTATGCATTTACATGTGCACTTGGCCAATTTTTTAGAATAGATTCAAAGGCCTGTGGTATTCAGAGATACCTCTGTCCCTACTGGATTCTAAAGATTTTACACAACAAATTAATTTCATATGTAGGTCACTCTGAAAGTAATGCTTCCTATTTATTTCCATGGAAACTACAACAGATTCAAAGAGCACAATAATACTGCTTGACAGAGCAAATTCTTAGCTACAAAGCACTATTTTTCAACACAGACACCATCATTAGCTATGCATTTTCACCAGTGATAAATGACAACCTGCATGCTGCACTCCTAAAAACCTTTTACCAGCAGAGGTACCCACTATTGCTGTTGCCACTACTGAAACCCACCATCTCCCTGTGCTCATATCCACTGTTTCACCTCCATGAATTTTCAGCAAGGGTCAATGAATATCAATCGGTGCCTTTTGGCATCCATTCCTCATGGATGAATTCAATGAGGCACCTTTGCTTCACATGCGCTTCCATGTCAGACACCGTTCTGTCTGACTGTCCATGCGATGCCATCTGTCACATGGCAACATTTAATGGGATACTGGTAGGAAGGTTTGACCTCTACGACCATCCCACCAATATCCACCTCTGACACTGTGGGCCAACACAATAAAATAGGAGGCATCACTATCAGAGCAAACATCGTACGTTAACTAAGCGTTCAAGCTATATTAGAAATATCATGTTCCATACATAATAAAATAATGAAACCAAGGCATTAAATAAGTTTCAAAATCGATCACTGAAAACCCTTGAGGCTGCAGAGCACATGTCAAGGCTGTCTAAGCCACAGCAGTAGCTGACTGGCAGCACATTAGCAAGAAGCCACTTGACAGCAAACAGCTCCTTCACCTTCAGTAAACACAGTGTCAGCAGTAACTGCTTGCACAAGGACATACACAGAAACAGACCTGTTACCATGCTGCTTTACAGAAGGCGTTAATATTCTAATTTTCTTTTTTTTATCAATTCAACTTCAATCCTAGACCTACAACAAAAATCTGAAAAGCTCTTCTGCAATTTTTTTCAGGAATGCAAGACTGGTTTTACCTTCACTTTAGAATTAATTCATGCTAAATATCTGCTATTTAATTTTAGTCAAGCTTAAAATTCCATAAGTTGCTGTTGTATGCATAGAAGAGTCGAGAATATTCAAATATCCATCTAAAACAAACATCATCACATTTCTAAAATTGCTTATTCATTAAAAACTTTGTGAATTTAATCTGCAGCCTGAATTCAGTGACCCAGTACAATTCTACAACACTGACTTGTTAGGGGAGGAGGAGGGGGGTGGGGAACAACAACAACAAAAAAAAACCCCACAACACTAAAGCCTTCTCCCTTCTATTTTTCCTTTGCAATGCTGCAAAGAATTTTCAGGGATGATGCATTTTCCCAGGGATACAGTTACAACTCTGTGCAGTCAGCAGCAGAGAGAAAGGAGAGAAAGGCCACCTCCCTCTGCTCTTTCTTCTCTATCACTTCTTGCGCCACAGTAGTAGTGAAGCCAGAATCCTGACACGTACATGTAGGCCATAGCCTACATAGATACTCAGCATATCACCCTGAAACCAAAGCTACATAATCAACCAATATTCAGCTGTTTTTCTCAGAAAAATTACATACCACCACCACCCTTAATTACTTAAAATGACATTCACATAACAGGCCTTTTCACTGTGTTTATCATTTGAATACATGGCAGTCCATTTCCTCATTGAGCATGTCAGACAAGGAGGCTGGCCTTAAATAGAGGGGAAAAAATAGTAGGGACTTATACATGAGCAGGTCACCATTTGCAGATGTCAGTAGGTCACTAACATTTTTTTTCCCTCCATGTTACATAAACAGAAGTGCTTCAGTGTTATTTTTTTTCCAAACAGTTATTTACATAAAAAAGAACTTCTGCATAAACAGAAGTATCTATTTTTACCAATTGGAAAATACTTTGGAGAAGCGGAAACTCAGAATTTATACACTTTCATCATTTACTTTTCCAACTAAACTATTCCATCCTTTTCCATCTCATTTTGGAGACTCAGATTTAATCTATTTTAGGTCGACACATTAACACTTTTTGTTTCCATGTTTACTGCCTATCCTCTGAGAGCAGATTCACTCTCAGCTCGTTTACTGTTCGCAGTATACTCATAACTGAAAGCAGGGATATGTGCAAATGCTGATTTTCATCATGCTAACACTGGTGTTAAACATTTCAAATAAGGCCTATTTTCAATTGAAACAACTGTGCTATCCTAAATCTATCAATGAACCAGAAATCTGGAACAAAATTATCATCAATTACCATATTGCAACATTTTAAAATGAGTATTTAACCACAGGGATAATAATTGCTTTGAAAAATAATGCATTGCTTAAAAAAAAAAGTCAATTCACTCACACTGTGCTATTGCCGAGTTCTCCCTTTTATTAGCCAACACAACACGAATTTATTAGCCAACAATCACGAAAAGTTTTAGTCCATACAAATGTATATTGTCAACTGTTCACTAATTAAGAAATTAAAGCTGGTGACATCCAGCATTCTTATACTAACACATCATAATTGAAACTAAACACAATTTTATACTGTTTACGACTGTATGGACCATTCTGAGACACCATGCAAAATTAAATGACAAATGACAAAAAGCCCTATAATTTGAAATTTAATCTGTGCAGCCACGTCTGCTCAGTTCAAAATTTAAACATCACAATTTTCAACGAGGTTTCTCTTTCTGCTGAACTTGTAGATTTAATTTGAAACTGAAGGAAGTAATTTAGCAGTATACATTGGAGCGAGGGCTTGCTAAAACAAGTCATGTGTGCTTTAACAGAACAGGACCAGTCGAATTCTCCTGCCAGTCACACAGCCCACGAAACCATTCCTCACTTCCCTATGCATGATAAAATTTCTTATTCTTCACATTAATAGCTTATGGTAATGAATTGTAAAATTGCCCCTGGAATGTATTTCAGATTGCATTCAATTACATACACGGAAGTTCTTCAACTGCTTTGCACCCTAAAAAGAGAAAACCTGTAAAATAAACAACACAAAAGAAGTCCTACTTACTTGATTTGTCCCATAGGACAGCAAGTTCAGAGAAGTGATGGCTCTCATTTTCCAGAGCCACTCTCACTTCATGCGCACTGCCCTTGGAATGCCTATGGAAAAGGCGGTTAGCGAAACCTTCCAGTCTCTGCAGCGCGGTGGCTGTCCCCGTGCACTGGGCACAAGGTACCTCCTTCTGAGCTGCCATCTATGCACACTGGCAATTTTCAGAAAGTCAACACAGAAAATATCTGAAAGGACGAGTCACAAGCACTAAGAGCTACGCATGTGTCTAACTTCCTGTATGCAGTGTTTTCTAACCACTGCTCTGTTCTACTTCCTGTTAAGAAAAGCTCTATCATGTAGTGTTTTATACTGTTAAAATGTCTCTTTTCCTGATAATTAAAAAGAATTTCTGTAAGAAAACACCAGCAACAACTGCTGTAGCTTCTTTGCATTACTTTTTAACACATCACCTATTTCACACTACAAAGTATTTTATACAAAAATACCATAAACAACTTGCTTAGAAGCAAAGATCAGAAGCTAGATATGTATATATATTTTAACTTACCACAGCCACGCCTGAAAAAAGTGACTATTCTGCAGTCCATCCCATTTAGGAAGAGGGAGTACTAGCACCAGTACTGCAAACACAACCACCTGTAATCTAACCACTAACAATCTGAAGTTTTCAGCTTATTTTCTAAGCAAGGGGGTTGCCTTGCAAAATCTATTGAAGAAATTATTATCATTGAAAATATCTCTCTCTACTTAGACCAAAATAATTTTGAAATTGAATTCTATTGTAACATATAAACAAGTATGCATTAGAATGGAATCTGGTCTTGATGATCTCTAGAGTTCCCCTACAGTTACTCTTTCAACCCCTATAATTCTGTGATATTTGCCCATACGGGGCACCACCTACTCCAAAAATTAACCTAATTACTTAAACTTTTTTAGTAATAAACTACCAGAACACATCACATTGACAGGCCCTTACCTACTAGCTCATTCTCTCTCCCAGCCCTGAAAGCAGCTGGAAGGAGTACCAAAGTCATAGCCGCTGCCTCCTTGCATTACTTGTGTTGAAGTGCATATCTTGTGACATTACATATGGAGGATTTTTCATACACAAGAAATCTGAATATTTTCAACTGTAGAGTAAGACTAGAAAGCATCATTCTTATTGTCTCAGAACAGTGGGGAGATAAATTGAAAGTGGCATGACATGTTATATTAATATTTAAATTATGTAATTTTGTGCACTTACAATGACTAATACTAAATATTTGTGTTTGTGAAAATGGAAATACACATTGGGCAGGTTTCCCAGTATATTTTCAGAACAGACAGGATGTGGTTTCTTAAAATTTTAGGACTATTCTTAAGTAAGATTGAAGTAGCTTTTCACAATGTCTCCTCTCTTATTGATAACATGTGCTGACAATATCTTTCTTATTTTTCACCACCATATTTCTCGCTAAATAGTTTTCAAGTATCAGCTGATACCCATACTTGAACATTACATAACTATTTTATAACAGCTCATGTTTTCAGATAGGACAACAAAGCCATTTACAACAATGATGAAAATTATCCTGGTGCTGCAACTTCCACTGGACCCTAGGCCACCACAGGTCCTTGTCTACCATTAATCTTTCCTGGCTTTTCCCTGTTTTGTCTCAGGATCAGCACCAATTTTCACAATGCTTCCCAGGCTCCAGGCTAAACTACCAGAAAAAAAGAATTAGCAATGACCAGGGGGATTAGTCCGCCCCACTGAGGGCACAGATAGGCAGAATGACATATAATAGTGCAAGTAGTGATATAAGCTGGCATAGCATTACTCTAAGAAATATTTACATCAACACGCCTGTGTTCACCCTCCTGGTGAACATTCTTAAGTGCAGAGTTTTGCACTTGGGCCAGAGGAATCCCAGGCATTCATACAGACTGGAAGGAGCAGTCCTTGAGAGCAGCCCTGCGGAGAAGGTCCTGGGGATCTTGATAGATGAAAAACTGAACATAAGCCAGCAGTGTGCCGTTGTGGTTCAGAAGGCAAATGGTATCCCAGGCTCCATCAAAAGAGGGGTGGCCAGCAGCGACAGGGAAGTGATTGACCCCCTCTACTCTGCTCTTGTGAGGCTCCATCTCGAATACTGCATCCAGGTCCGGAGTCCCCAGTATAAAAAAGACAGGGAGTTGTTGGAGAGAGTCCAGAGGAGGGCCACGAAGATGATCAGGGGACTGGAGCACCTCCCCTGTGAAGACAGGCTGAAGGAGCTGGGCTTGCTCAGCCTGGAGAAAAGAAGGCTGTGGGGTGACTTCATTGGAGCCTTTCAATACTTAAAGGGAGCCTACAAAGAGGAGAGGAATCAACTCTTTGAAAGGGTTGATAACTGCAGGACAAGGGGAAATGGTTTTAAGTTGAGGGAGGGATGTCACGGGAAAATTCTTTACAGAGAGAGTGGTGAGGTACTGGAACAGGTTGCCCAGAGCGGTTGTGGATGCCCCATTCCTGGAGGTGCTCAAGGCCAAATTGGATGGGGCCCTGGGCAGCCTGGTCTAGTATTAAATGGGGAGGTTGGTGGCCCTGCGTGCAGCAGGGGGATTGGAGATTCGTGGTCCTTGAGGTCCCTTCCAACCCTGGCCATTCTGTGATTCTGTGATTCTGTTCTAGGGCTGAAAAGAGCCCCTGTGGAAATGTCCAGCCATGCTCCCCAAGAAGCTCACAGCAAGTCTCTGCATATCCAGGGGATCTTTCCAAGAGACTTCTTTATTTCTCTCACCTTTCCTGTTTTCTTCAGTAAATCAAGCCACCTGTCATGGAGGTGTGTTCATTTTGTCTTTTTCATCTCTCCTGGTTGTGTGCCTTTTTTTCATAGTGCTGTAGCTGTATCTTTCACACAGTAGTTTCCCTGATCACATAAAAGGTAACTTAGAAAATTCACATCACTTCACATTATGTATGTCACAAGTCTACCAGCCCTCTGGCATCAAATGAAGATATGCCAGAGCTGCATGAGAGCATCTCTGCCCACTGAAGTTCAGCGTTTTGAATGCCCCCAAATGGCTAACCTGGAAATATGAATGAGAGACCAAAAACAGAGCAGAAATCACAATCCTCTGAGACATAATAGTGACAGGTTATCAACAAGGGATTATTAAAAGATACCTAAGAGAAAATCTGGATTTGCCAGAATTTTAAAATCTCACTTCTCCTTGCAGCCAAAATTAATGCTGACATATTAAAAACAGCAGAAATGGTATTTTCACTTCTCTCTGGCTGCTACATCTTGGCAATATTTTGAAACATGTTTTTTAAGAAAGATTCAGCTAAAAATATAAATGTTATGTGTGTAAATTATGGTACTATGATAAATGTTTCAATAAAACTTCTCAAGGTACCCTCCCAACACAAGAGCGGTCATAGAGACAGATTGGGACTGCAGTGCTGTAATGTGAAAAACACAACATAATCATTTACACTTTTCCTGATGGCTAACCCATAAAGCCAGTGTGTGCTTCCCAGCAGGTGATCCCCAGAGTACATATTTCAGCCAGAGGTAAAAGAGTGCAGCAGTAAAATCCAACCAGACTTCCAGATTCTCACTGAAAATGAGTCTACAATAATGTAACTAGATGGACTATTTCTTTTTAATAATCTCTGATACCATATAATTCCTCAGTTTCTAGGAAGCCAATCCACTCTACCAATCAAGCCTTAAAATTAACTGTTAAGGAAGAGCACCCTCCTTTCCTCCAAGAACTTAGAAATGGAGGAGTAACACCATTATATGTACATTCTGGCTTCAATTGAATACAGAAAAACGCATTATAATTAAAAAATGTTTAATATGTTCCCCAAGTAAAGTTACTGTGAAATGTCTGAACTTCAAGGTAGTACAAAATGGAATAATATTAAACACTATAGCACAACTAAAGCCTTCAAGATGTCTCTATTTTAGTCCTGAGAACCAATGCCACAGAACTGAAACTCCCTCACACTGTATCAGAACTGGAACACCTTCCCATCGTTGCCGATTATGAGTATCTTAGAATCAAAAACACATAGGAATTTTTAAGACAGCGACCCTGACAAGGTCATGAAAGACAGGTCTATTATGTAAAAGAAATTTCAGATCACTTGCAACTAATATTTAGGTCTTAATTCTAATACTGCAATTTAATGTTTTCCTGGTTATCTACAAAACTTAGTCCACTTGCCTGTTTAAGCATGCTCTACTACTTCTTAAGAAAATATCATGTAAAATTAATCACTCTTCTTTTCAGCACTGGCCTTCATCCACAAGTAAAAAAGACATACTGTGACATATTTAGTTCGTTCATAATTATGGAAAAATAACTTAAAGAAACCTCATTAATGAATAGTAATGACTTTTTTCCTCTAAATGTCAAGGACAGTTTATTTATTTGTTTACAAAACAGTTTGCTTGATAAAGTATATCTTTCACTTTACACATCAGTTACTTCTACCACTTAAAGTCCAACTTTATTATTAACAAGAATGAGCAGTTAGTGAGGGCTCCTCCACTTATAAGACCTCGGGGATTTTGCTGAATCTTGCATCTCTCCCACTGATCTATACATTAAGTTGATAGAACCAACATATTTTAAAAAGATAAAATATTTTATTGTCTTATTTTGAACTTCAAAATACAGGATTTTATATTTATTGAATAGCTCTACAATTAGTTAAAGGACATGTAGTAAAGAAAGAAACTGGAGTGTTTTGTGGTATAAGCATGAGGAAATACATATGATCTTTTTCCAGTTGTTATATAAAGCTTAAAAGAAAAGGAAATAAAACAAAGTACAAAAGTAGTCATTCAGTAGCTAAAAATTACAAGAATTTTATCAGAAATTGTGCTATTAAATGCAATTCATACTAGCTCCTGCCAGGCATTCATCTTTCAAAAAAGAATTATGGGTAGAAAAGAGGCAGAATAAAGGCTTCCTGAAAAAGCAGATGTAGTTTGATTTTCACTGTACATCCAGTGCTATGTCACTAGCTTGCATTTCTTTTTAAATGCATGAAAGGAAGTGCACTATTTGCTAATATCTT